GTGTGTGTGTGGGGGGGGGGGGGGCATGAAACAAATTCTCCTTCAGAACTTCTGGAAGTAACCAACCCTGTCATCATCTTGACTTTAGGCTTGTAGCTTCCCAGAAATGTGAGAGAATACATTTCTGTTGTTTTAAGCCACCCGGTTTGTGGTCATTTGTTACAGCAGCCCCAGGACACTAATACAGTAGTTATTATTTGCCCTGTAGCATACATAGTTTTTATGCAGCAGTTGTGTGTGATAACAGGGTTTAAGTTACTCATTTAAAGACATATCCTCTCTGACCTTCCATGGAGGGAGAGGGAAACTGCAAAAACAATTTAAAGGAGAGTTTTACCAATTTTAGAGTTTACCTGATTGTTACTATTGTTACTTCTGTATATTTTTAAATATGAATATATTTATAAAAAATGAGCAGTGAGATGATATTATAATACCTACTTGTTCATGCCCTCCCAAATACGGATCCTCTTCTGCCATTCTGGAGCTGTATAGCAAAGCAAAACAAAAGCAAACCGTAAGCCTGAAATGAACCTTAACAATTCCACCATGCAGAAGTAAACTATATTATGCCAGGAAGACCAAATATAACCCTTTTTCAAAGACTTGAGGAGGAGGACACGGTGCAGTTCTTTGGGACCTAAATCTAACAGCAGAAAAACTGCATAATCCAGGAATCAGCATTTATATATAATCCAAAAACCCTTTTGCCAGGCTCAGAACAGTGTTCTGGAGTTTGGTGTAACTAATTTTCATCTTCCGTATAAAAATCCTATTTGGATTCTTAGAGGCCATTTCTTTTTGCCACCATATAGACGTCAACGATTTAGTCTTAGCTCTTCGCGTAGGTTATTTGCTAACCCTGCATGAACTCTGTGATGGTGTTAGGACTGCCTCCACGCTTTCTGTATTAGTGTATGTCGCTCCAGTTGAGAAGCTAAGAGGCAGTCACCCTGCTGACAAAAGGGCGTGGTCAGTGGCATCAGGGCACCAGGGGAGGCTGCTACAATGTGCTGTGCTGTGCTGTGCTGTCCGCCAGTGCGTCCCACTGCGGCAGGCATTTCCTGCCATTGTCAAAACGGTGCAGTAGTCCCCTTATCCACGGTTCACTTTCCGCAGTTCCAGTTACCCGCCATTGAAAAATGTTAAATGGAAAACTCCCCAAATAAACAATTCACGAGCTTTAAAATGTGTGCCTTTCTGAATAGCACGATGAAACCCCCTGCCGTCCCACTCCGTCCCACCCAGGGTGTGAATCATCCCCCTGTCCAGTGTCTCCACGCTGTACACCCCACCCACCTGCTAGTCACTTCGTAGCCATTTTGGTGATCAGATCGACTGTCACAGCATCGCAGCGCTTGCGTTCAAGTGACTCTTATCTTACTTAATAATGGCCCAACGTGCAAGCAGTGATGCTGGCAATTCGGATATGCCAAAAAGAAGCCATAAAGTACTTCCTTTAAGTTAAAAGGTGAGGACAGCCCAATAGGATATTTTGAGAGATAGAGACCACACTCACATAACTGTTGTTACAATTTATTGTCTTACTTTTTCTATGATGTTATTAGTTATTGTTGTTAATTTCTTACTGGGCAATATTTATACATTAAACTTTACCATATGTATGTATGTATAGGAAATATGTAATATTGAGGGTTTGGCACTATCTTTGGTTTCAGGCATTTACTAGGGGTCTTGGAACGAATCCCCCCTGGATGAGAAGGGACTACTGTATAAGAACACTGTAATATTAAAACTTCAAAAGGAAGACATAAAAATACAAGCCCTTATTATCAATGCTATATTCTCCAACTTAATCAACTGCAGCCAGATATTGAAACATTGCAAGCCTAGCAATCTTCTATTATCCAGAGGCCCTGAGAAAACCAAAGAACCATATTGTCAGATAAAAACAGTACCTAACGTCATATATCATACTGGATTTATTTCCTTAAGAAATTGCCTTGCGCCGAAACCGGTTTGGCTCAGTGGATAGAGCATCGGCCTGCGGACTGAAAGGTCCCAGGTTCGATTCCAGTCAAGGGCATGTACCTGGGTTGCGGGCACATCCCCAGTGGGAGATGTGCAGGAGGCGGCTGATCGATGTTTCTCTCTCATCAATGTTTCTAACTCTCTCTCTCTCTCCCTTCCTCTCTGTAAAAAAATCAATAAAATATATTTTTTTAAAAAAGAAATTGCCTTGTATAGGTTAATTTTATTTAAATTTACTAAGCTCAAATTTTAGATATAGTACATGAAAAATTAAAAGGTAAAAATATCACAGGCTGAAAGCAAATATTAATTCCTGAGGCAAAGTTTCCCCTACCCCACAAATGAAGTGTATAATGCACTCAAGGGTACTTGGGACTGGGCTGGAAATGGTAGCTGCCTGCCAAAATCTGTTCTCTCCTTTCCCACAGCGCAGAGCTGCAGTGGAAGTGTGACTGCTCAGCTGGAGCGGGCCCCACACTTCCTGGGAGTCAGGGATGGCGGTCTGATGGCATGCTCACCAGGAGAATGTCAGAACTACTGTGTGTCACTGCCAGGTCTGGGCTTAACATCCTTCCTCCATGTTTTTGTTTTTTTCTCTTTCCCGTTGGCTAAAACCTAGACGTGGAGAAGACAGAGCTTCTACCACACAGGCTAAGATGAATGGCAGGCGGCTAATACCGCGGGTGATGGGAGAAGGAAACTTCTTTGTTCTTGAACCCAGGGTACTGATGGATCTACTTGTTAAAACAGTTTAGCCCTCACCCTCATGAATACATCGCCCAACACTTCAATAAGGACAAAAACCATCCAAAGATGACCCTAACATGCAATGAAATCCTCTAGATTTCGGCTAGGGCCCTGTGTGACCAGTGAGGGGGGAGAGAGCCTCGAGAGGGTGCCTAGTGGGACACAGGATGGGTCCAACTTCACCACCCGGGGAAGGGAAGCTCTCAACCCCAGAGAACAAGAAGGCCATGCAGATTTGCAAGGAAGTATTTGTCTAAAACAAATGACTGCTTGAAGATGTACAAACAGCTGTACTCAATTAGACAAGCAGTCAAAAGGGGGGAAACTGACTTGACACAACAGAGAGGAATTAAGTCATTCGAAATTCAAGAGTTTAGCCACTGCTGAGGGGGTGACTGGATATACAACTAAACTCACTGTGGTCTGTTTCTTCATCTGCAAAATCAGAGACTTTGATGGGTTGGACTTTTGAGAAGAACTCAGAATGTTAGCGAGCTAATCAATGTTTATTCAAAGAACACATCACCTACATCATAACTCTTTTTGTAAACTTGGATTTTTAAATGTATTCAGGTATATAACTATATTAAAGAATCATCAGCACAATTTTCAGTTATATGGAGAATACAAGGAAAACAGTATTACGACACAGTAGCAATACCAGTTACAACATTCCATATGAAAAATCCTTATTTTTAGAACACCACAGGAGCCAATTTCCAAAAATAATATTAAAACCCGTTTTTCTTTTGTCTCTAGGCTTTCTATTAATCTGGGCTGATCACTTGAATCCTCTCAAACAATCTTAGCCCACAGTCTTCAAAAGCAGAGGTAAGACTGTTGACTTGTGAAACTGACAGGACACGTTCAGTACCTCTATTACATTCAATATATTTATAGTTTTAAACGTGTGGATGGTTTCCTGGCCTTGGAATGCATGGATTCAATATGAAGCAGCCCTCACCCTAATTAAAAAAAACCCTCAACTAAATCTACCTTATTAGAACTTATGCAGGGCTATTATCATGATCACAACTGTAGTTAAAACCTTAATGAACCTAAATTGTAGGCACTGGACAAAATGCCCAATGAAATGTAGTCCTCCCTCCAACAAACTCCCCATGCACAAATGTGTGCCAAAAGATCACAGTTTTAAAAGCCCAACAGTAGCCCCAAAGATACATGGGTAATGGTTAAACCTAAACTTTTACACACTTTGTAAGAGAGTTTAAGTTCACTGTGAAGAGCTGAGGTAACCGTAACCCTAGGGTGATGTCAATATTAATTCATAATTCAAAACTAAATGTCAAAAGAAACCAAGACTTATTTGGAAAGGATGAATCACTGAGCAGTATTTGCATTAATTGTAAAAGCAGGTTTTATTTAAAAAATTTGAGCTTTCAACAAGCCCTTGGAACTGAAGGACTAGGAAAGGCCAGGGAAAGCCCCTCCTGCCCCCCTGCTCCCCAGCCCTTCCTCTCATTTTTCCTTTGCTCAGTTCTGTGCTTTTGAGGAAGGACCTTGAAACAGAAAGGGAGGTACTGGGCTGACTGCTGAGAAGACACTGCTGAACTCTGCATCTCCCTCCCCAACGGGGAGGTTTGAAGAAAAATTTTCACACCATGGAAAGAAAAACAGAAAATGTAGCTGCCTGGCAACAAATAAAACATCTTCCCCAGTGACTTGCTTGTATTTCCCAGGTGAGAAGCAGAATGTTATAACTAAGCTCTGAACATGGGGTGAGTTCTACGTGCAATGCCTAATGAGTCACTTTCTGCACATATGTGACAACCTCACGTCTGACATCTAAGGCCAGCGGAAGGAAGTCTTAGTGGAGGCAGCAAGACCAAGGCCACAGGGTTGGACCATTAAGGATAGAGTTGGAGGCACTTCCATCCTTGTAACTGAGGAAATTTTCTAGAATCAGATATATTCATGCTTTTTCAGCAGAGCCCACTATAAAAAAAAATGGATTCTTTTTATTCTACTAGATTTCATTTTTTTTTAAATCCCAAAAGGTTTTAAACCCATTAAGTGATTTCAAGATCCACTAATGCAGCGGTTCTCAACCTGTGGGTCGCGACCCCTTTGGCGGTCGAACGACCCTTTCACAGGGGTCGCCTAAGACCATCCTGCATATCAGATATTTACATTACGATTCATAACAGTAGCAATATTACAGTTATGAAGTAGCAACGAAAATAATTCTATGGTTGGGTCACAACATGAGGAACTGTATTTAAAGGGCCAGAAGAGAACCACTGCACTAATGGGTCACAATCTAAAGTTTGAAAACAGAATCTGAGGTGCCATCCAGAAGTGCAGGTAGGAATCAGAGCAAGAAAGTTTCTCTATTTTCAAGATTATATTCAGCCACAACAGACACGCTTCGGTGTAATTTTAACGCTTCATCTTGGATAGCAAGGAGGATAAAATTTCAAGCAAAAGAGTGACTTTTCACCATTCTCTGTTGAATAATAAATTATAAAGAGAAAGAATATGCTGGAGCCTCTTTTTATAGAAGAATTTTTTTGAGAGAATGTGCTATAAGGTATAAGACATGTACTACATACACATAATGTGAAAACTCAGATGAGAGTATCTTTTGACTCTGCAACTCCACTTCTGAAAATTATATGAGAAAATGTGAAAGAAAATAAGTATAAGGATATTCATTGTAGCAAAAGGTAAAAATATAAATGCATTTTTATAGCAGATTATTTATAATTATGCTATATTCAGTTATATGTTATGTAATTGTTAAAAACAGCAATTCAGATCTTTATATATTAACATGG